TGGAGCGAAATACAAAATAACAAAAGACGGCAGACAACGTTTCATCACTTTATTGTGATTGTAAACACAGTAGAATCTGGGAGGTTTCAGTATCGTTTGAAATCAAATTTATCCCAAAATCAACAAGTAGAACTGAAACTTTTCTCATCAGGTAAAGTGCACGATTAATATTCTTGCTATTTCTCTCAAACATCTAGAAAAAAAACACACACACACACTCTAAAAGTGCTTCAGAAACAATTAGCAAACTACAATTTGTTTTTTATCCCAAGAACCTGAAAGTGGTTTAGGTAGTGTGGATTATCTTAAAGCAAAATGACATCTGATTAATCACAGGTAAAGAATACGTCAAGTCAACAAAACCTAGAAAAGCATCATACTGGTTGCAGTTTGGTCCCTGGAGGTCAGACTGCAGGGGGAGTTTCAAAATAATACAGTTTCTAAAATGACACTTCTCATTTAATAAAGACAGAAGCCAATTACTCAGTTAAGGCACAATCATTGTTTTAAAAAGCGTCACTGTAGTGTGATCACACCGTCCAACTAGTGTCACAGTAATATTAGTCAACTAGTGAGGAAAACTTTTCATAAGTGACATCAGTATCATCCATCCATCCATTAGTTATACCCGCTTTATCCTGTGGAGGGTCACTCGTGGCTGACTTTGGGTGCGTCCCGGATGGGTCGGTCCATCACGGGTCGACCGCAAAGACGCACACGACCACGCACGCACGCTTTCACACCTACAGCTAGTTTTAAAATCACCATATAACTAACTGTGCATGTCTTTGGATTGTGGGAGGAAGCCACGAGGAGCATCCAGGGAAAAACCCACAAAGGGAGAACATGCAAACTCCACAGAGGCAGGCCGACCAGCGGGTTCACACTCTCCTCGCTGTGTGCGGCAACAGTGCTAACATCAGGATCATTACAAAACGACTAATACTCTCTCGCTGACAGCTGCCTGTACTCACTAACAACATATACAGTAGTGTGCTGAGGAGGTAGAGAGGCCGGGAAGTCATCTGAGGAAACATCATCATTATGTAATTGAACAACATGCAGGAATTCGCCTGAAGGGCAACAACAAAACGATTTCTTATAAAGGTGGAGTCTGTCAGAAAGGTTGCCAACATTTGACGAGTTTGCATATTTAGAGTCTGTTCCAGATTTACCGTCCCCCCCGTTTGTTCCCGCAGCCCCCCTCCCCTCCATCTCTGTGCACGAGCACAAACGTGCACAGGACAAGCTGGAATAGTGTCGTGTGGATCGGTCCGAGCCACTTCGTCTCCAGAGCCGAGGCCGTGTTTGGGTTTAAGTGCGGATTTGACAGAAAGCGTAGTGTTTTAGAAACGTGGACTATATCGTAAATCATTTGTTCGTTACAAAAAAATAAACTTTGCTCAAGACACTCGCATCCACAGACGGACATCGGTGTGTCAGCGTGGTTCACAGTGATCATAGGATGCAGCACATGTAGCGCTACCTTGTGCTGCTGTTGCTGGTGATGCTTTGAGATTTAAAGCTCAACGGACTGTAGCTACAGTTAAAGAATGAACACTGTACTCTCAGAGGTAACTGCAGAGATCTGGAAAAGCAGCAACAAAAGTATGTGTAATGAGGAGCGCTCACTTCTGGTTTAAAGGGGTTTAGATAATCTGGTTAAACCGCTGGCTTGTTTAAAACCAGCTCGTGTTTATTGTGCTTAGAATTTGTAGCATTCTCACATGAAACTAGAGATCATTTACATTATTGATTAATCTGTATATGCATATAAAAATAGATTTTTTTTTCCCAGTGGAAGAATTTTGAGGTTTTGAAATGAAAACAAGTTTGGTAATTCTAGTTTCATTCTCTCAAGCAGAGCAGACATTTCTGTTAATCAAATGAAATATCTGAAAAATCCATAGATTTCTGTCAAATGAGCAAAAATAGGCCTTTAGAGTAAAAAATATAAAAACTGGGATCAAATGTTTTGTTTTGTCCAAATCCAAAGAGACTAAATTTACCACAAAATCAAGCAGAAAATTATAAAAAAATCAAACATTTCAGAGGTTGAAACCGCTGAATATTCGACATCTTAGTTGATTCAAGCTATTAAAGCAGCTGCCAATGAATTTTATTTTATTGAACTAACTAATTAATCAGCTGAAGTTGCAGCTCTTGCGTTCCCAGATCTCAGTAATTACTGTCGAGTACAAAGCTACCTGACAGAAATGATGAGCTTGATTGATGGGATTGTATTGTGTGTTTTTTTTGGTTCTAATTTCAAGTTTTTCAGAGTTCTCCTCGTAGCCGGGTGTGCAGGTCCTCCTGGTCGATCTTGCCTTCCTGCTGGTGCCAGCGGTGATGCGCCAGCAGGGCCACGTTCCTGGCCGAGATGGCGCTCATCTCCATGGCGCTGGCCGCCCACTCCACGGCGTTGAGGTAGTAGAGCCGGTTGTGCAGGATGAACGGAGGGGTCTTACGGTGCGGCGGGCGGTAAGCCGGGTACGCCAACCACGACGTCTCCGACACCGAATCGTAGGAGAGAAACATGTTCTGCAGCTGCTGCTGGGACAGAGGCTGCTGGGAGAAAACCTTCCACACCTTAGCCTGGCTGGTGGGGGGTCGCTGGTAGCCGGCGGGGATGTGCACCGGGTCCAGAGAGCTCAGGCTGCTGATGACGGAGCCCTTCGAGTCCGTGGTGAGGACGTCGGACACGGTGAACTCTGAGGCCGACTCGGTGGTGCCCAGGAAGGACACGTTGAGCAGGCCGTGGACCAGAGTGGAGACCGTCTGGTGGTAGCGTCCCGGGAAGTGGGTCGGGATGGAAGGGGAGAAGCCTGAGAAGGTGATGTCGGACTTTCCCTGATGCAGTGGCGTCGCTATTACCACTATGTCGTATAAACCGTGTGCTGTGCCCGACTCTCCTACGTAGTTGAGCTCATAGAAGCTGACCGGGTTTCCTGAAGATGGAAGTTACAAGGAAATGTGAGAAACTTGGAAAAAAAAAATGACGACTGTGTCAAATCCCAGAACGTGGCTGTTACCTGTCTTGGATGGTCGAACCTTGACTGTAATAGAAGTCACTCTGGCGGGGATGAGCTCACTCTTGCTGTTGTACAGCAGTCCTAAGCACACTCTCTTATTGCCTCCATCCACTGCCCACAGGCCTGAATCTGCCCCTGCTAGCGACACGGCACCTGGACGACAAGACGTGCATCGATTTCACACAAAATGTATTCAGAGCGTACACGTGATGAACTCTCACACTGCAACACCTACCAACGAAGCCATTGATGCGAACACTCTGGCCGTAGTTGACGCGAGTGATGGGCGCAACAATGTCGTTAAGGAAGACTTGTGAAAATCCTTCGCCCATCATGGTTTCCTCCAGAGTCTGATTCATCAGGGTGAGAAAGTTATCGCCTCCCATGGCGTGCAAGAGCCTCTCCACGCTGGAGAATGAGTAACCGTACTGCTGGTACTGGTAGATTCTGTGAAGAGTTACACGATCATTAGAGCACCAAGCAGCAGGATGACGAGATGGAGGAGGCATGAAAACTGGTTTTCTCTTCTCACCTCATAAACTTGTCCAACACACTCTCCACCCACATGTGCATTCGAAGAAAACTGAACCCGTATCTCCAGAGCATGCGCAGGAAGTTAACGATAAACCAGTTGCTCTCCTCGAACACAAGCTCCTTTCCATCAAAGATGGCCATTTTAGACGGGACATCTGTCCTCGGAGGGATACCTGAAAGACCAGAGAACATGCTGGGTTCAGTTTTCAAATATCCCAGAGTACATACATGCATTTGAACACATCGTATATTTAATCCAAGCAGTTCAGGATATGTTGACGTCACCTAGTTTCTCAATGAAGTGCTTCATGTGTAGGTTCAGAGGATGGATCACCGAGCCGCCCGTCTCGTACTCATAGTCTCCCATCTTCACCGTCGCTAGTCGCCCGCCGACATCGCCGGGTTCGAAGACATCGATCTTCACCGCGTGTCCAAACTCCTGCCTCAAGTAAAACGCCGCCGCTGTGCCACCGATGACTGCTCCGACCACGGCTGTAAAGGAACGGCAGAGAAAACCAGAATGAGTTCACCGAAGAGTGACGGCTAAAGCCCAAGACTGGCCGAAGACACATGAGACTATGAGACAAAACTGGAATCCTCCTCCTTTCTGAACGGGAATAGAAAAGACAAGAGGTGGAATAATTGAAGGAGGGAAGTTTCATTATCAATGCTGTGGGTGTCTGTTATAGAGAAAGTGGCGTAGATACACAACAGCACTAATCACTTTTAAAGTTTTTGTACATAATGTGCTAAACAGTACTTTTAAATTTCATCTGACATGCTTGCTCAATAAACAACTCTGGGACGTATACAGAACATTTATACATTTAAAGATAAATTTCTGTGTTATTTGATTACAAGTTTAATTCCTTTACTTCTTAACGTGTTCTGTTTTCTCCTGATGCGTTTTGTGCAGAAGCTACAGCCCAAAACAAGGACATATGCCGAAGTTATCCTAGAATTGACCATTCAGGGAGGAGCAGAGTGTGATCGTTTATGGATAAAACCAAGAAACACATAAAATTTGGAGGGATCCTTCATACGGACGAGTTTACGGCTGAATTTGAAAAGATTCTCTCAAAGACAAGACTTTATAAATACTTTCAGGGACATTTTTTGCAAACGACAACTTACGGTTGAACTCAGTGTGCAGAAAGAACTAACAGCTGTTTTCAATGTTGATTAATTTGTAGATTACTTTCTTGATTAATCGGTGAAAAATTACAAAACAGTGAAAATCTCCATCATTGAGCCCAGAGTGCCTTCATCTTACTTTGTGTGGTGAGACAGTCCGTTATGTTCAGTTTAGCATCATGTCAGAAAACAGCAGTTACAGATTCATTATTAGAGCCTTTGTTGTTGTTGTTGTCGTCTTTAAATAGACTAATAATATGTGTCTAATAGACTTTAACATTAAAAAAAAAGTTGAGCTATCTGCTTATAAATCTCTAAAATGAAAACTGTGTCCTTCCTCATTGAAAAACTACAAATACTAAAATCATTTTGAATTGATACCTCCTGATACCAGATGCCTCCTACTTCAGGTCCACTCACAGTTCACAGGCCGTAAATTTCCAGCAGGATTTCTGTCTCCCAGATGAGCCCTCAGACCTCTTTACTCGCTGTGTGTTTTGGAATAGATTTTAATATGTCACTGATCTACGGCCCTTCTCAGCCTCCGTCCCGGCTGTGTTTCTGATCTTTTAGCACCACACACCCCGGTATGCACTCTGAGATCCTCGGGCAGAGGTCTTTGGTCTATTTTCGGGGCTCCACTGAAAACTAACGGGGACGAAGCGTTGGGGACAGCCGGGGCCTCGAGGCTCTGGAACGAGGAAATCAGGTCGGCCGAGTCTGAGCTCTTTTAAGTCCCTTCTTAAAAACATACTTTAATCAGAGAGCCTGTCTTTTATTTAGTTCATTGATATATTTACCCTTTTCTGACAGGACTTGTCATGCGGTTGACCAGATAGCTGGTAGAGCAGCTGTCTCGTGTATTTAGTATATGTAGCGTGTTAGCTGCTATGTGTCTTCTAACTGCTTTGTGTGCTGCTGAATTGAAAGTAGGGATGCATATGACTTACTTGTGTAACAAAGAAGACTATGTGGTCTAATTTGGTATTATGGGCTTCTTCTGAATAGTTTTCATTCATTTTTCAGTGTGAACAAAAATTGAATATCGACATCGGTAATATCAGGTGTTGGTATCGGAGAGAAATATTAAAATCGTGCATCACTAAATTAAAAGTGTTGTTTTTTTTATAAGTCTTATAAATTCTGCTGCCTTGTGAAGCAATCTGTAACTTTGCTCTATAAATAGAGATTCTGAGGAAGGTTCTGCTTTTTCAAATTTCCGAAAATCTGCACCCACGTTGTTTTGCACACTGATCCTCAAACATGCAGGAGACCAGTGAGACAGATTATCGAGTGGGATGATGACACAGATTTATCCGGGTGGCTTCACCGTACCAATCAGAAGACACTCTGACACTCAGGCTGACTCACAGCAGAAGACTTCTCACCTATTTTCTTGGGCTGCTCTTTGAACTCTGGAGCCGAGGCGAGGCTTCTCCTCCCCGAGTGCCAGAGCCCCAGAACCAGCAGGGCTCTCAGCGACAGCGTCTGTAGATTCATGGCAGGCGTCTACAGCTGCACACCAACAAACATCTGCACAGGAGGAGGAAACAACCTGAGGTCAGAGGTCTCTGTCAGTCCTGGTCAAAGGTTGCATTCAGGGTCTCCTGGAAACAACAGAGTCAACAGCAGCTTATTGCACAGCTGAAGCCAAGACATGTGTCTGACTTTATGTTTGAAACTTAAAGCTGACAGTGTGTGTGTGTGTGTGTGTGTGTGTGTGTGTGTGTGTGTGTGTTGGACTCACTGTGTCAGAAGTCGAGCTGCTGTGGATCCACAAGTTGAGTTTAAAGCTTCACGTTGACTTTAAATCTTCATAAAACTCAAATTTACAAACTTCAACTTTAGACAAAAAGACTCACGTTAAACCAACAGGCGGAAACAACCAACTAAACTCGTTAAACGGTTGAATCACGGAGCAGCACCGCGAACGTCGGTAACGACCGAGACACACTTCCGACCACGCTGACCTCCGGAGTTTCACAATAAGAGCACGCGTCACAATAAAAGCCGACTGAGCTGATGTAAATATCTACAAGAGAAATGCTTTATAAAAACCTTATACACATGCTTATTCACTAATAAAAAA